TGCCGCTCAGGTGAACGCGCAGTTGCGTAATCTAGCTCTGCCCCCTTCAGTATAAGAAGTTGTTGTATGACTAGCAATAGATGGTCTTCCAATTCATAGGAAGACTAAGCGTGAGTTTTGGCCTATTTTAGGCAGAATTATGAAACCAATATTAAGTAAGGTTCTCACTGTAGGTATATACTGTGGAGTTGGTAAGCCTCCGGACGTGCAGGCGTTCTGCAAACCGCTTGTCGACGATTTATTGTCGTTGAATAAAGACGGTTTGCGGCTCGATGCGGGTAACAAAACTCTGCGCTTCCGTCTGGCTTCCGCCATCTGTGATGCTCCAGTAAGAGCTTTCATTAAGAAGATTAAGAATGTTAATGCTTACTATGACTGCGAACGCTGCTGCGTTAAGGGGGAGTACGTAGATAAGACAGCTTATGATAATGTCTCCAAACATGCTAGGGCAGATGAGGATTTTTTTCACCATTGCTGGCGTGCAACGTAGGAATGGTAAGCTCCTTCCCCTTAGATCCTTTACATATGGCTTACCTAGGTGTTATGAGAAGACTTCTCAACTTGTGGCTGCGCAGCCCTAGGGAAAGTGCATATAGGCTGTCTGCATCGGCAGTGTCGGCTATAAATAATAACTTGCGCGCGTTGGACCCCTACCTGCCGAGGGAATTTTCGCAGCGCGCTAGGTCATTAAATGACATGGACACCTGGAAGGGTACAGAACTGCGCCAATTCTTGTTGTACACTGGCGTAGTTGTTCTTAATGGTGTGCTTCCATGTATGTTTTGAAAGCACTTCTAACTGCTTTTCACAGCAGTACGCTGCCTAGTACGGTCATGCTCATGCAGACAGTGGGTCCCCTTTTGTAGTTCTGTACCCTTCCAGGTGTCCATGTCACTTAATGACCTAGCGCGCTGCGAAAATTCCCTCGGCAGGTAGGGGTCCAACGCGCGCAAGTTATTATTTATAGCCGACACTGCCGATGCAGACAGCCTATATGCACTTTCCCTAGGGCTGCGCAGCCACAAGTTGAGAAGTCTTCTCATAACACCTAGGTAAACCAAATGTAAAGGATCTAAGGGGAAGGAGCTTACCATTCCTACGTTGCACGCCAGCAATGGCGACACGCCAATACGATGGCAGTCATCGTCCCTGGAAAAAAATCCTCATCTGCCCTAGCATGTTCGGAGACACTATCATAAGCTGTCTTATCTACGTACTCCCCCTTAACGCAGCAGCGTTCGCAGCCATATTAAGCATTAACATTCTTAATCTGCTTAATAAAAGCTCTTGCTAGAGCATCACAGATGACGGAAGCCAGACGGAAGCGCAGAGTTTTGTTACCCGCATCGACCCGCAAACCGTCTTTATTCAACGACAATAAATCGTCGACAAACGGTTTGCAGAACGCCTGCACGTCCGAAGGCTTACCAAATCCACGGTATGTATCTACAGTGAGAACCTTACTTAATATTGGCTTCATAATTCTGCCTAAAATAGGCCAAAACTCACGCTTAGTCTTCCTATGGATTGGAAGACCAGCTATTGCTAGGCTGAAAACTACTTCTTATACTGAAGGGGGCAGAGCTAGATTAAGCAACTGCGCGTTCACCTGAGCGGCAAGACCCAAATGCATGTACTCACCACTGCCGTGATCGGTGCAGAGAAGTATGTGGCGCCCAACAGCGTTCGTCCGTCAGCTGGGAGGTCCGGCAACCACGGTTTCAATGCAGATCGTCAAATGCGAATGGGAAGCTTTCGACCGCAAAGCCCACTTTCGCACAGCTTCACGAGCGCTTGAATCCTTCTCCTCTAATTCTGCCGTTGAACCAACTTCTTCGTCCGTAGACGCACTGGTACCGTCCAACGAAGAAGAGCGTTCGTACTCTAGCGAAGTTGAAGAATTAGACTCGTCCGTGACGCTTTCCGACCAACTGCTAGGTTATGTGTCCGACGACGGCATTTCCCTCACCTCTTCGCTGAGTTTTCGTATTATTTTTTCCGTTTCTCTACGTGCTTACGCCTACTAACAGAAGTAAACATAATTGTTAGTAAAAGGGGACAAAATAGAACACAAAGACAAAGACAGGTAGGGTAGAAAATGACAGCGTTGAGCGAGACACGGCGTGCGCACTGCAGCGTGAGAAAGCAAAAAGTGGCACCGGCGAAAGCGGGAGGACTATTGGGCGCTGAAGCTAATCGATAATCAAGTGCAAGTATGTTCGGCCGCTTGCGGTCTTCGCGACGCCGGCGCAGCCGACCCGAGAACCAATCAAATCACGACCAGGCTAAAGACCCACTATCCGCTAGATTTCGCTCGCTCGCGGCGAGCTCGCTTTCTATTAGGGAAGTAGAATCAGTTGCGATGACAGAACGAGGCTGTTAATTTTAGTACCCATTCTCAAGTGCATCATATACGTCCCTAAAGATATTGTGACCCTTGTGCCCCCACTATCCCCATCTGTTGCCCTTTCTGTCGATGGGTTTAAAAGTGATTCCGAACGCCAGGCTGAAATATCGGTTACATCCTTCATCTTGACTGCGAAGGATCACATGCGAGGCATGCTAACGGAGCTGTGTATGACTGCCACGCCTCGGCCGTCTCAATTGCGGCGATTAGTCCGAATATCAAGACGGTTGCGAAATTGGACTTGTGTTTTTTTCTCCGAACAGTCAGTGGCTGTGATCCGAAAATGCTTTTTACATCAACTTCGTTCACACTTTAAGGCAGTAGGAACTTGTTAGCGTCGGATCGGTGGGTTTCGTGGACACACATTCTGATTCAGAGATGACATTCTCATACGCTCAAGTTGACCTGGACGCCCTTCCATCTCTGGCGTATTACACCTCAGCTGTTTTACAGTTGCCGCTTTTAGGCATTCCCAATATAAAGAATATAGTAGTGGCAGAATGGTATTACCGACAAAGACAAGGGAGTCTGGAATGGCCATTTCTGGCTTACTAGCCGTCGTCAGCCAGTCATACACAACCTCGAAGTGTGGAACACCCGAGGCTCGAACTCGAGACCTGTTAGTTATAAGTCCACGCCGCAAACCAATGGGCCACGAGCCCGGGTGTTCCACACCCCGGGGTTGGGTATAACTGGCTGACGACAGCTAATAAGCCAGAAATTGCCATTCCAGTCTCTCTTATCTTTGTCGGTAATACCATTCTACCTATATCATGCTCCGCTGTGCGGCTGCTGGTTGGGCTCGAGAGAGAGCCCGTAAGACTCAGCGGAACGAATGAGTGCCGTAGAAACGATCGGTGAGCGCCCCCTACCACAAAATATAGTACTTTCAAAAAGAAACTGTTTCTACCGACCAAATCCTCACATCGTCTATGGTCATCGCCTTCTCCCCCGTCCACTCATTTAGGCTGATCGATTACGGAGATTATACGATGCATTGAGGACAAATGTCTTGGAGGAAGATGAAGACCTGGTCCGCATGCCTGCTTTGCAATCCCAAAGCCAGTTACATGTGTTTCTTATTCAAGTGGGTTTTTTGATCCCTAATCCTCAGTCAGCCTCGTAGATCAGTTTGCCAGAACTCACAGCAATGAGAGGAGTTGGGAAAGCCCTGAACAACGTCGGCAAACCAATTTTTACACTGTTTCATCCAACTGCAAGCCCACATTGGCGTAGCCTGTGCTTGTGGCCGCCGTCAAGGGCTTATACTTCGGTAGGATATGGCCACACGTCTAGTGGCGGCTAATCTCGCGCCAGCCGTCTTTCTCGTTGTTGTTGTTGCTTAAAATCCTGGTCAAGTGTCTTTTGCAGAGTAAGGGCATGGTGGTACGCCCAGGGGCAGCTCCGGCCGCGCCAGCCACCTGAGTCCTCTCCCTCCTCCAATCTTATTGAAAATGTCTTGGGGGAGGAGGAGAATGTGCGGTAGATGCAGCAAAAGTCTACTATCACTGTAAAAGAAATCACGCGCATCATGACACCGTGCTGCTCTCACCCTGCTGTGGAGCACACGGTGGATATCTTTGACAACGACGGTCAAACTGTCAGACTTCGACAATCCGCCTGTTACGATGAAAAATAGGCCAGTTTGAATGATCCAGGCCTTACGTGCTCTGTCCTCTGGTTTGCTGCAATGAGTTTGGATCCGTTTGAAGAGCGTCTTCACACAGCTTCGTTTGTGAGGCACCGGATAATTGCTGTGAAAATTGAGGGCTGTGTGGTGTTCGTTGCCCTCCTCCCTTCCTTCGTTTCAAGTTCACCGGTCAGGTCTCGTCTGACAAGCACAGGCAGGAAGTACAACTGCTGTTCCTGTCCTTCTTCCCTCGGGAATATTATATCAAGAAGGACTTCGTTGTGCAGGCTGTGGAAATGTTGCAGCATGTCCTTCTTTACGATGACAAACGTGTCGTCTACGTACCGGCGCCAAAATACCGGTTCATGTTAAACGAAGGCAATCCAATGTAGCGCCCGAATAGTTGGCTAGAGTATGTTCTTACTTCCCCTACCGTGAGTGTGTTCAAGAAACAACTGGATACTCACCTGCCGAAAGGTAACCCAAGCTGCCGAAGCCTGATCTAACGGATTACTGAAATGACTATAAATATACTACTAACACGATTTCAATAGACTATTTTTTGCGCGACAAACTTGACATATATGGACATTTTCAAGGTCTGAATGCGGTGAACAAAGTTTTCGCAATTATTTCGCGAATACCATACCCTTTTCGGATTTATGTTTCTTTAATAGATTTATGAATTCTCCTTACTAAAATTGGAAGCAAAATTTTTGCAATTCAACTATTTCCCCTTACATCTGTACCGTCTAGATGGATTTTTCAGGTCTCCTGTCATTTACTCTAAATATACTGACTGATGGAATAAACCAACAAGGTAACCCATAAACTCAAGACACTGAAGACAGAACAAGACCTGTTGGGAAGTACACGTTCTTATTTCGAGAACACCCTAAACTGAACAATCATCCTCTCAAAGGGAGAAGGGGAGGAATGAACTTCGCCTTCAAAGCCAATTCCTTAGACGGAAATCATGAAGAGAGCTAAACAAAGGGCGAATACGGAGAGAGAGGCTGCAACGGGACGTGAAGCCGCAGACCAGGATTTGTACAGCACTCGTGGTTGTGCTGTGCCTATTGGATTGAGCATTTGCACCGGGCGAAAATTGTCTTGCATCGGCTTTCTGTCATCAGAGCTTCCAAACTGAAGGGATCGCAGCAGGTCCAGCTATGATTTAAGGGAGTATAACAACACTGATTTAGGTATTGCTGGTTAGTATTATTATCTCAGAGGGTTCACAGTAACGCAACCGTTTGTTCAAAGAAGGAAATTCGGTCAGAATGACAGATATACTCGGGATAAGTGATCCCTCATAGTCAGAAAATGAGCAGTATAATTCTAACCACTCTGCTGCGGGGATTATGTTAAGGAAATTTCCACTGTGATATTCCATCTTGAGAACGTCAAGACGAATAGGGTACGTTATGAACCCAACACCCGTAGGCAACTTCTGTGTGGGGAGCATGATTTAATGTGGTGCATTATGTCTCCGTTGTGTGCTTACTTACTTAGACTCGATATTCCCTGGTTGCGCACAAAATAATCAGCTGCTAGACCTCACAACCTAAGAGTTAAAAATTTGTATCCGTAACAAACTACTTGCCTCCAAACGTCAGTTGGGGGTTGACGCCTGACATCATGTCTGATCTCCAGCCGCCGAGTTGTCCCTCAGCTTACCCATGCCCTTCACTACACGGACCTTGGCCTCACGGCCAACCTGGGCGACCACCTCATCGCCCGTTTGTGCTCGGGCATCCTTGTCAGCCAATGTTGACAGGCTTCTTCAAAGTAACCAACCGAATTTTCCACTACGATGAACATGTGTTAGAGAACTGTACAGACTCTTGAATTAGAAGTTATATTGCCACACTATAAACCCCCCAACACTGCTACTTCAGAGTTTTCTTAACATATGCAAGCTCGTTATACTTCCGTGAAAAGCCAGGGAGTCCAGAACACACTTTCTCTCTCTGCACAAAGGTTGACGCTTTTGCTGACACCACCACGACCCAACTTCAACTTGCAATTTAGCATTATTTAAGCAAAATGTGAATATAAGCAGAGGGAAAACTGGATGGAAGATTACCTCTGCAGTGGTTACGTAGAGGGGATCCCTCATGACCGTCCACTGGACGTTTTCTGTGCATGGTGGTGTAGTGAGAGAACCGTAGTAGCGGAAGAACTGATCCCTGCTTTTTGGTAACACAACCCTCGGATCGAACGGCTGCATCTCGGTTTCTGAACCTGACGTTCTGAGCCGGTTGATCAAGGATAAGAGATCGCCCATTTTTGATAGACTGGAGTTGGATTGATCAGTGGTCAGTTGGAAAAAGACGCCAATTACGGCCAGACCACCCGGAGCCGAAGGCGCGGTGGAGGATCCGGTATACATGGAAGAGTAGGCGACAATGTGCATCTATGAATGGAGAGGGTGCGGGTGGATCTTTTAGACCAGTGCATTTGGCAAGATGTAAATCATGTCTTGTAGTCATTTTGCGGCACCCTTCACGTGATCGGACAGGATCCATCATTAGAATAAAGTTACAATAATAGTTGTTCTGGGATTATGCCACAACCTCAATTTCAGTTCTACATGGATGGCGTACCGGTCTCTCCCGATATTCCAAATGATCTTCCCAATAAACAAATCGCTCGAGTAGGAACGCGTTCAAAGGCGCCCGCCTATATTTCTCTTAGTAAAAGTGAACTGAACTGAAATCTTGTCCAACCAGTGATTTTTTCACTCAAAGAAATACGCCCACGTTGCGCGCTTAGGTAAAGCAAGGGTCAATGGACAAAGATTTTGTCCCAGTAACAGAGTGGTTGCGGTGTGGAACGCCCTGTCTAGTGGTGTTGTACTCTCCTGTGTGGATTCACTCAATTGTAGACTTGACACGTATCAAGCTTTCAAATTACCAGTCACACAGATACTCACATGACCAGCCACACAAATTACATGTGTATATACTACTTGCAATGAGCAAGTAGGCGTTCATGTTTGGCCTTTTCGCGTGCAATTATGTAAACAATCAACTTTTCACTTATCGGTGTTTTTTCTCACACAATTTGTAACCAATAGTTCGCTGAAAAGCGCCCGTCTATCTTTCCCTTAGTGAAAGTGAACTGAACTGAAATTTTGCCCAGTCCGCTTTACTGGTTATCGGTGCCGGTGTCGATAATTACTTGAAGGCAAACTCGGGTAGACAGCAGAGACTAGCTGTATCACTGGGTTATTGTTGCGTAAGTTGTTCGTATCTTTTAATTTCTAGACCGTACATGGTGAGAATGTTCTATAAATGAATAAAGGCAGACAGAAATTCCTCAACTGCGATTTAAAATCTGCTCTTCACTTTCTGGGACGTTTTTTTGTCCAGCCTGAGCACTATTCATTCGATTTACTAGATAGAAATGCCTTATGGACACAGGAGCAAGGGACCGGGGTTATTCACACATTACCCACGTTTACTGGCAACCAGTCGGCTGTCGTCAACCGTTTTATGTGGAAGTTAAAAAATCAACTAAACAAGCTGTCCTCTCGCACGCAGCCGTCGTGGGTAATCGTCCATTTATAGCGGCATTTGCGAAGCTATCCTATGATTTTAAACAAGGTTATTTAATCCCGTGTGTCTACTTGCCCTTCTGCGACTGTTCAAGTTGAAGGAGAGTTGTCTGGGAGGAAACGCCCAGTAGGTTAGAACCATAACGGAACATAGGAAGATACTGGGAGGCGGCCCATGACAGTCTGAAAGCCGTTTAAAACTGAATGAAAATCTGCCAGCTGCAACTTCGGCTCAGTCATTCATCTCTTCTGGTACTGGAGTATTCGCCAGTATCGAGGATCTCGGCACCATCTGCCTCTCCAAACGGCAAACGTTGATAAAAGTAAATCGCGCTTAAGCGGTCTTCCTGCAGCAGGTGGCGCGAGACGTTGTAGGTTAAGGAAGCATTTGAAAGACGGCGAGAGCGTGGTTCCGTGGTGTAGTGGTTATCACGTCTGCCTAACACGCAGAAGGTCCCCAGTTCGAAACTGGGCGGAGCCACCTCGTGTCGGTTTTTTGTCTCATCACACGCCGGCACCGCAGCCTCGTGTATATGCCGAGAAGCCGCGTGAGAGTCGGAATGTGCCTTTTGCCAGTAGATAATTCAACCAGTTTCGGTTCAGGGAGACTTTTCTACTCCCTGCGCCGTACTAGATTGGACATTTTAGAGGCATGCATAAACTCTGCCAATTTATCACCGTTTGTGCAGACAGACTGCCAATTCCACCTGGCTGAGACAGTTGGCTCCCGGAAATAGATGTGTTTCCCCTGAAATATTACTATTTTAGGGTGACCTTGATATCATAATATTAAGGTGTCGACGCCACCTGTAAAAAGGGAACAGTGGCAAGAGGAGATTTTTAGGTTAGGAACAGATGTTGTTCTTTGTCACACAAAAAAGTGAAAAAGTGCATTTGCGCTACATGCTTGTCTTTATGTAGCAATTCGGACCTGTTGTAGCCCTACTCCCAGCGCCTGTCTCAACACTAGGCACCTCGCGAATGTCTGCACGTGAGCACCAGGGCTGTATGGCATTCGTGCACTCGGTTCCCCAACTGGCCAATCAGATTCATGGCCGAGTCAGAAGTGTTCTGGCCTAGGACTGACGCATTCCCAGACACACTGGGGACGTCGCCCACCGGCTGCAAACTCCTTCTCCAGTTATCCTGTACAGAATACATCATCCTTCCCACTGGCGTACGCCTTCTCTTTCCATTAGGATCCGGGCCTGAAGGTCGTGGTAGCCAGGGTCTCACTCGCGGCCCAGCCTACAGTAGGTGGTCTAACTCATGAAATGTCAACCGAAATTTCGAAATGCATTTTCGATTCGAGAAGATTAAGTAAGTAGGGTTGTAAAACTAGTCAGCCTACAACCTAATTCTATAATGATCCAGTTACCTCAGGGTGTCGGCTTTCGAATGGACTTTCTTCTGGTTACATGCAAGAACTATAGTCTTCAAAAAAGGTTACTTAATTAGAATGCAATTTTCTCATTGATTTTCGATGCCCTCAAAAATTCAATTATATTCCATGGAAAACATGCATAAAAATATTCATTATTTTGCTTATTGGTAGAAAATCACGCCCTCCGATTTTCTACTCGAAAGAAGAGTATAACTCGGTTTTAAAAACTTTTCTAATTCCCGAATAATTTTGAACCCGACCAGCTGTTATACTGGCGTTCAGGGTTTCAAAACTACAAGCCGTATATTTTCCGTGTACGGAAAACCATATATTTCTCTACGGTATTAAGAGGAGACCATATGGGGTTCATAAAATTAGCAGTGGATTTGAACAATATTGTTAACTTTACAAGCCACATTGGCAAATGCAGATACATGACGTTTTATAAACAGTCATTTCACGGTATTGAAAAGTCTCACGATTAGGAAATTTTTTGAAATCGAATTATACTCCTGTTTCGAGTATAAAATTGAAAGAAGACGTAATTTCCTACCGAATAGATAAAAGAATGAATATGCTTATGCGTTTTTTCATGAAATATAATTGAAGCTAACTTTTGAGAGCATCGAAAATCAATGAGAAAATTGCATGCTACCTAAGTAGCCATTTTTCGCAGAGTATAGTTCTTGCGTGCTGTCGGAAATAAGTTCATTCAAAAGAAGATACCCTGAGGTAACTAGATCATTATAGAATTATGCTGGATGGTGATTAATTTTGCAACCAAATTTAATTAATCTTTTCGTAAAGAGAACGCATTTCGAAATTTCGACCGACATTTCATGAGTTAACCCACCTTCTGTGTCTGCGATAATTTCACATCGACGCCGTTCGCTTCCTGTCAGGCGGCAAGACACTTGTGTCAGATTGATTGTCCCGTTGAATGGGGTCCGCCGTATGGCACCTAAATGTTTACTGACAGGCACATATTATTTGATGCCTTCATGCCTTCCGAGGCAAACCATCGCACTTTTGCACTGAATGCCACCCAAAGCGGGCCAGTTTGGCGGGAGATCGATGGTTCCACAACTCTACCTGCCCCAGCTGAAGTAAACAAACCCCAGTCACCTCTAATACGACACTGGTGGTAATAGGGGTTTTTACAGGTGGGGCCGGGGAACGCACAGGCGACGAGGTCAAGCAGTTACATGCAAAAGAAAAGTTATTGGGAAGGTGCGGTTGTACTTTGAATGGTTGAGAAATAGTTGCGCTAACCCCTAACCCTAACCCCAACATAACCCCTAATCCTAACCCTTAACCCTAACAGTATTGTATCCATCAGGTGGGGCTACCAAACCACATCTTACCAGGGACCACTCCCCTAATAGTTACAGCCATCAGCAGCCGCGTGAATGGCGTATTTTCGTTTGTTTTTTTGTATTGTATTGTATTTTTGTATTGTATTTTTTAGGGTAATAGGCAATGCCCTTGATGACCCTATTGAAAACGGTACATAAAATATAAATTTTAAATGTACATCTTACTAAAATTTTGTCAGTAATATATTTGTTCACGGGAAACTTTCACAGTGCGGGACTGCTAAGGGTGCGGCAGGCGGTCTTCTCAGTGTACACATGAAATTTTAAGTGCAGTTATATACAATCAGCATAAAGTGCAGTCATTTGCATAGTTTGAGAGGGGGCATCTCATTAAGAGTCAGGGGTGTGTTAAGTAGGGATGAAATCAAGAAATGAAATTTATGGCTGGCCGCAGGTAGTCCTGTTGTGAAAGTCGTCGTTTATCAAATATCAAACGATCCAGCTGCCTTTTGAATACAGCGATTGTATCAGATGTCACTATTTCACTTGGGAGTGAGTTCCATGGCCGAACAACACGCTGGCTGAAGGAAAACTTCCGATTGTCTAGGCGTGTACGCTCCCGCTTGACTTTGTAAGGGTGACCGCGCAGGTGACTCGTGGTCGTGAATTCAAAACAGTCGTCAGTTTTGAGCGAACATTCCTGTCCGTGGATAATGCGGAATGTCCATAATAGGTCACACCTCATTCTTCTATAGGATAGGGGGAACAAATTTAACTGGATCAGTCTTTCTGGGTATGACAGAGTCCTGAGACCGTCCACCAGTTTTGTGGCCCGTCGTTGCACCTGCTCTATGGCATCACTGTCTTTCTTCATCCAGGGCATCCATGATGGCATTCCGTATTCCAAGTGCGGTCTGACGAATGTGCCGAATATCTGTGAGAAGAGTTCTGGAGGAAAGATTTTGAAGGCACGCCTAATCCAGTGCATGGTGCTGGTTGCCTTTTGGACGACTCTTTTGCAGTGCTGAGAGGGCAGCAAGTTTGAGCATGTCCAGACACCTAGGTCTTTGTGCGTGTCCACTTCATTTAGTGGAACCCCATTTATGATGTACTGATGTTTTTGGAAGCGCCTCCGTCCAGATTCTAGTCGCAAGACTACACACTTGAATACGTTGAACGCTAGGAGCCACTTGCTGGACCACGCAGCCAGCTTATTAACATCTTCCTGTAGCTTTTGCGCATCTTCAACGCAGCTGATTGTTTTCCAGATCTTTATATCATCCGCAAACATGATGCCATCGCATTCAAGGTCTGCAGGACAGTCATTTATATAGATAAGGAAGAGGAGAGGACCCAAGACTGAGCCCTGCGGAACGCCGCTTTTTACTGGCACCCATTCGGATGTAGTGGCACCAACGATGACTTTTTGGAGCCTGCATGACAGGAAACTTTTAATCCAATTAAAAATGCTGCCCTGTATTCCACACTCCCAAATCTTCTGTAGCAGTCGTCCATGAGGAACGATATCAAACGCCTTCTTAAAGTCAAAGAAGATGACGTCCACTGGACGGCCCTGGTCTGTGGCTGTTGTCCACTTTTCCTGAGAGTAAAGGCTGCTTGTAAGACAGGAGTGACCACGACGAAATCCGTGCTGAGCAGCACATAACAGGTCCCTCTGCTCCAGATACGACATTAAATGCCCTTTAATAAGTCGTTCCATTACCTTGCATAGAATGCAGGTTAAACTAATAGGACGGTAGTTTTCGGGTTCCAGTCTGGATCCTCCTTTATAGATTGGAGAAATATGGGCCGTTTTCCACTCCTCCGGCAGTTCGCCTTCTTCCATGGACTTCCGAAATATCATGGACACCGGCTCACAGAGTACATCAGCTAATTCTCGGAGGACAAGTGGATGAATTCCATCTGGACCAGGTGATTTGGCAGGTTTCAGCCGGCGTAGTTCGGTCCTTATCAACGTAGGTGAGAAGAAAAGATTGTCTTCCAATGCAGGACAGGAGGGATATTGTCGTTGGTCTACATATGGCATGGCAGGAGGGTTTGTGTCATGAGTGAATACCGACTGAAAGAAATTGGAGAAGGCTGATGCTTTCAGGTGGTCATCCGTCTCAATTACTCCGTTTTGGGATCTTAGCGCTGGAATCGGTTCACGATTGCTCTGTCCCTTACGTATGTAACTATAGAGGATTTTAGGATGCTCCAAGGAATTTTGTAATATGCACAGTTCATAGTTGCTTCGAAGTCTATGAGCCTCGCGTTTGCACGCATTCCGCTGTCGCTTGTATTCCGTCAGGTCTTCAGGACTTTCTGTTTGTCGATAGAGTCTCCACACTTTATTTCTCCTCTTAAACGCGGTTTGAAGTTTCCGGTTTATCCACGGCGGACGGTTGCTAGTTTTCTTTCGTCTGAGTGGACAGTTCAGATCAACGATTCTTTTGACCAGTGAGCTGAACGTGCTCCAATAGTCATTAACTGTTCCTTGTAATGTGGTTGTCCACGGTATTGCTGAGGCTTGCGTTCGCATGCTAGAAAAATCCCCCTTCCAGATATTTGCCTGTAATTGTTCAGGTGAATTAGGCTGGGAGAACATGGAATACTCGAAGAGCATCACAATATGATCACTAGCACCCATTGGCGGGAGATCTTGTATATCCAGCACACTCTCCTCATCTCGAGTGAGCACCAGATCGAGGCAATTTGAACGTTGCCCTTCCCTAACACGTGTTCCGAGAGTTACATTCTGGAAAAGTAGTTTTTCTGCTGCCAATTCAAGCAAATGTTGCCCAAATGTGTTCGATGGACCCGCAACCGTCCAAGCTTGCCAGTCGATATTGGGGGCGTTAAAGTCCCCTACAATAAGGACGTCTCTGTTCGAGCAGGTCTTGCTCAGTTCCCTTAGGAGAAGGCTATCGTGTTCGGAAATCTGGTTTGGGGGACGATACACAACTGCAAACGCCAGCGGCCTGGCATATTTGGTGGAGATAGTTAAAGATAGGAATTCGACTTTCGCTGTTGTTGTTGGATTATGCTCGGGGACCGCGGTTAGGTTGTAGCTAACATAGACAGCGACCCCTCCTCCTCGGCTTCTCCTGTCTCTTCTGAACAGTTGGCAGCCTCTGAGGGATACCTCATGGTCTCCAATAGCTTCAGAAAGCCATGTTTCTGTCAAGGCGATGATATCTGGCGTGTGCTCGTCGATCAGAGTCCTGAGTTCATCCATCTTGTTAAACAGGCTCTGCACATTCGAATACAGCACCTTTAGTGTCCGTCTTCTCGGGGGGAACTGGCCCTGATTACAAAGGGGGTTAGCCACAGGAGCGATCGTTTGATCTGTATTATCTTGCCTTCCTTTATTTTCAACCCCTTCTCCCCCTCTTCTGTCCTTCTTTTCAGTTCTGTCCATGAGAATACGTCTGATGTAAGGTTTGCCATAAGTGATATGCAACAGTGGACAAAGACAAACCTCTAGCGGGAAAGACTGGCCGTCCAGAGTGTGCTCCGAACCCCTGTCATTCGCACCTCCCCAGTGAAAATGATATCCGTCAACAACGTAGTAGTTTTTTGCTTTGGCATTTAATGTTACCTTCCATTTTCCCCGAGGAACGCGGACGAGCACTGTATAAGTCAGAAAAATAAAAGGGTATTGAGTTATAGAGAAAGGTAGGCCGTTGGTTTTTAATTTCCTCAGAAATTAACTACGAACTTGGAGTAGATAAGTATATTCGAGGTCTACATGCGCAGACCGAAATATTTATGTAGGAATATTTCGGATGATGTCCATCAACCACAGCGGGTAACCGAGTAATATTCATTAACTACCGACAGGCAGTTAGTAGTATACTGATAGAAGCGAACAGGCGATTTCCAGGTAGCAGTTCAGAAGACGAAGATGCGATCACTGGAACAAGAAATTTATTGGCCGACCGTTTCGGTATTTCTGGCATATTTAGATTCATCAGCCAGCCACACGGCAACTCCGGCCTCCGTCAGGCTCCTTGGCCACTCACCTGCAGGTTGTGGACTCGTCTTCTTGTCTTTGTCGGTAATAATACTCTGCTCGTCTTCTTGTCAGTTGCACGGTCTTTCGGCCCCGCGGCTCACGCGGTTGTCACCCCTTGCGAGGATTTCGGCCTCTTTAAATTTGAAAATATGACCGGGTCCCATCGAGTGTGCCGCCACCTGAGAGTTAGCGTCTCCCCGCCTCACTGCTGCTGCGTGCTCGGCAATTCGCGTACGGAGTAATCTCCCAGTTTCTCCGACATAGTTGCTTTGTCCGCATCTGCACTAGATCCGGTAAACGACTCCAGACGTTTCCTGCCGTGGCAGTAGGCCTTTCGGCCTTGTGACTTGGCTTCCGGCCTGTGTGCAACCCCAACTCCAAGTGGGGTGAGAATACGACTGACGGCTTCCGAGACGCTCTTCACGTACCGAAGAGCCCGCTAAAATTTAAGGACGGTTAGATTTGGTCTCTGGTGTCCCTTTCGTATGCACTGGTTTACAAAGTTGCGCGGGTAAACATTGGCTCTTATTACCCGTCGAAGATATTGTAATTCAGCAAGTTTGTCTCCCATTTCACTACAGTGCGTCTCAACGTGCCGGTATAGAGCCCTTACGCAAATGCGATTGTGATTGATCGGGTGGTTGCTACTGAAGTTTAATACTTGCGTCGTACTTGTCGCTTTCCTGAACACTTCGGTTTTTAGGTCACCACAATATTTGCGGCATACGAAGACATCCAGAAAGGCCAGCTGCTTGTTCTCTTTTTCCTCCATCGTAAATTGGATGTCCAGGAAGATGGCGTTGATATGTTCTTTGAATGTCAGCACCTGATCCCGTTCGATGAAGACGAAGGTGTCACCCACTTACCGAGCCAAGAATTTCGGTTTGCGGTTTCGGAAAACCAGCGATTCCAACCGTTGTAGCACCGCCTCAGCTATGAGTCCCGAGATCGGCAAACCCATTGGCGTTCCCTTCACCTGTTCGTAGATTGTTCCTTTGAACGTAAAGTACGTCTTGAGACAGAACTTCAGGAGCTGGATGATTTGGGCGTGTCCGAGACGATTCTTCGTTTCGTCATATTTCTCTCGTAGGAGTAGTTCGATGGTCTCGACTGCCAGGTCCTACGGGATAGAAGTAAAAAGGGACCTGACATCAAAGGAAACCATGACATCGCTTGGCAGGACACTTACTCCTTTAAGTTTCTCTAAGAACTGTGTTGACGAGCTGGCTTTAGTGTTACAGTCAGAGGTCAGTAACATGAGACGCCGAAACAGCCACTTTGCCAGTCCGTAGGTTGGAGTGCCCTTTAATGATACGATAGACCGGAGAGGAGAGCCCTCTTTGTGCACTTTTGAGAGGCCGTAGAATCGGGCTAGGGCTGTTTCTTGTGCTCTCGCCATGCATCGGTCGATTGGTGATATTGCACCTGAGTTCTCCATTGCCAACAGCGTCGCGTTAATCTCGCGTGTCAGCGTTTTCATGGGGTTGGATTCGCATGGGACATAGGACTGACGATCCTCCAACAAGCTTTTGGCTTTTTGATTGTAGTCTGTCCTGTCCAATACGACCGTTGAACGCCCCTTGTCAGCAGGCACGATAACGAGGTCGTTGTCGGCCCTGAGTTCCTTAAGTGCATCGCGCTCGACCTTGGAAAGCAGTCGCGCGGCCTATGAGCCATGAGGAGGGATGACTTTTGGTGCCGAATGAGGGTCTTCGTTTCGTCTGTCGCTCCCAATTGGCTGAGGATTGATTCCACTGTTGCGTCACGTGGGGAGGGCTCGGGCGAGCAACTATCCCAGTGACCGTGAGCCAATTTGCCGAGCAATCGTCACACCAGCATCCAACACGAATAACGAAATCCTCGCCGTTAATGACTCGGACGCGGACTGACAAGCCACCATCGCATCCATTACCATCCCAGCGATGATTGCGGGAGCTGTTAATTAGAGTACGCGTATGGTCCCACGGCAGCCACGTGCTATACATACGGCACTCCTTGTGCAACCATTACCCTTATCTGCGAATGTCTCTGATGATGGGTTCGAGTGAGAATCCGAAACTTCAGGCCAATGAATTTATTGTTCCAGCAATCGCATCTTAATCTTCCGAGTTAGTAATATATTTTGGGTAAGGGGATACCATACTAACATCAAGGTACTAGCCGAAAGCCCAGACACGCATGTTTCGCAGCTCTTTCATGGAACGACAGCATTTCTTAGGGTATTGACCCCTGTCCTGTTACAAGTTTGGTTGTTCGCCGTTGGATTTGCTAAGGCTTTTGACGGTCCAGGATCTCCATGCTTGGATATAAAACTCCAGATACGGCCGCACGAATGCTCAAAAGACTTTAGCGAAGCAGTCTTCATCAAAGGAAGAGATGGCCCGTTTGACGAGGCATAGGATGGACATCTCCGACTTGGCTACCTTTAAGCAGTGCAGCGAAGGCCTCAGAGAGTCCTCCTAGGCGTCGACTTCTTGCAGTCAGTCAGGCGGTAGACCTTGCGGTTAGGAGAACTGATTCCACCGATTCGTAGGAAGTCACCGTTGTTTAGGTCAAACGGCAAAAGCCAGTCGTACGACCATTGTTCGAGGAAATCTGGGTTTGTCTGCAACCGTGCTTCGTCAACTTCATTTCGGATGGTACTCCAGATCTTAATATAATCAGCACACATTGCGACATGACAATCCAGTTCGTTTGCCCAGCCGTTGACATATATGAGGAACAGTGTAGAGCCAAGAACGGAGCCTTGGGGAACACCACTCCTAACGGCAACCTCGGCAAACTGCTGGTCACCGACGTGGACGGCTTGAGAGCGGCCGAGTAAAAACTTCGAATCCACATCAGAAGCTTACCTCGCACTCGTGTACGGATGAGTTTGTATAGAAGGCGGTGGTGAGGCACACTGCCGAAGGCCTTTTTAAAGTCGATATAAATGGTATGCACCATATCTCCTCTATCAACAGCCCGAGTTCAGTGTTCCGGACTGTAGAACAAGTTTGTCACACAGGATCTGCTTTTTCGGAATCAATGCTGGGAATCGGAAAGCAGATGGTTTTGTTCAAGGAACTGCATTCATTGTTGCTTTATTATTTTTTCCATAATCTTGCAGCAAATGGGGGTGAGGCTGACTGGTCTGTAATTTTTCACCGGGACCCGACCTCAGTCCTTATACAGCCGCGTAGTCCACGTTAATTTCCAGTCATCCGACATACATCCAGCCTCAAGGGATGCATGGAAAAGCATAGAGAGTTGTTTAGCCAACTCGCCAGCGAGTTCCTTCAAAATCTTCGTCGGCATCTCATTGGAGCCTGGTGATGTTGATTCCTTTTGCTAAATCAGCTCCATCAGAACCGTGCCCTCGGTGAACTGGACGATCCCAATGATTGTAGCCAACTTCGAAGTCACTCGTGGGAGGGTTATATCCATCTTCCCTACTGAAAACAAACCGAGAAAATTTGATAGATGATCGGCATTCACTCTATCTTCAATGGAATTTTCACCTTCGGCAGTCCTTAGCAGTGGTATTGGGTCCTTGTTTCGCGTGCCCTGCCTTATGTAACCGTAGAATAATTTGGGGTTCTCCGCTACAAAGTTAAGCAGATCTTGTTCGAATTCTCTTCTCATCCTGAAGATTAGGCCCTTGACTCGATTCTTTTGAATTTTGTACGCATTTATGGACGTTGGCCTCTTGTCAGTATGTGATTTCTTCCACAGCTTTCGCTCTGTCTTGAAACCGGGCTCGGGCGAGGGAGGAGGAGAGAGTGTAGGTAGATGCTTCGCAAGTCTACCGGCACTATAAACCCCTGCGTAAGTCACCGTCCCTGCTCCCATTGCTGCTGCAACTGTGGGGCACACGGTGGACATCATCGAAACCGATGGTCGAACTGTCATGATGAGTCTGCGCATTACTTCTCGCAACCGCTGCCAGTCTTTAGCAAATGCGGAGTTCCACTCAATGCGTGCAATTTCAGCCCTCATTTGTCCGAAATCCCCCGTGCCAAAGGTTTATTCTAACTGTCATGGGTCTCTCGGACATGGAAGAGGGCGAGTAATCCCATAGTAGAACGACGTGGTCACTTTTCCCTAGGGGGGTGGGGGGTAGGCACGACACCTCAGTACTGCTGTCCTGTTATTTCGTAAGGACAAGATCACGGCAGTTGGCCTGTTCGCCTTCGCGTACTCTATTTGAAAACGTGACGTGTTGAGTGAGAAGTAACTTCAGTGTTTTGTTCACAAAACTACCATCAAGGGTCTGTTCTAAGCTATTTGCGTGGGCCGTTATAGTCACCCATGGTAAGGATATCCGGTCGTGTAGCAAAATTTTGAGCTCCTCCAGTAGGAGAGGCCTCGGCAATATGTTCCTTTCTTGGCGGTCGATAGACTGTCAGGAAATCAAAGCTCGGTGAGTCCGGAGTGCCACATTGCCTCGGAAGTACACGAATATTTGTCGGTTTTCTCTGAAAGATATACTGCATGTTTCACGTAGGTGAGTACCCCTCCCTGACGCCCTTCCCTGTCCCTTCTAAACAGCTGGTAGCCAGGCAAGGCCAACTCACGGTCGTCCACGTGTTGGATCAACCAGGTTTCTGTTAGAGAGATTACGTCAGGGTATAAATCATGGGGGTATATGTTTAGCTCGTTGAACTTTGATAGCAAACTCCGCACGTTGATGGTCAAAAATTTTTATATCCTGTTGAGGAAAGATATGGTTGCACTTAATATGTCTGCTGCACGGTTATTCGGACCGGGCCTATCCAAAGGAAGAATGACGGACATCGCCTGAGTTGGTTTTCGTATATAATTAGATGGTCCTCCCCTTCGCTGAGCCTCTTTCTTAGTTCCAGAACTAGTTTACGAGGATTAGTCCGGTTGAAAAAAACCACTTAAGTTGGAGCCTTTAATCCTAAAACGTCTGAAAAGAATGAGATTGGCTTGGTCGCTGCTGGCCAGCACAACTTTAAGAGGCCGGAGGCATGTTCACTCCGATAAATTTTCTGTCCGATTCATGCATAAAGATTTCCAGCTGCGTCGATAGACCTAGAATATGCTCATCTACTCAAACTTTACAGATCATTTCTAGAGGAGTTAAAAAGCAACAAGTTCTAAATTGGAGTATCTACCAGAAAGTAGACAAGAAATGCTGGGGGACCCACTGGCGAGTCGGACCCCTCGCAGCTGTGTCATGCAGCGACAGAATATCGGCGGAACACGGGTGTACGGGCTTTTGGCTATTACTTGTGCTGTTAGTATGGTATCCCATTAACCAGAAGTTAGGTTGTAAAAACGAACTTTACTAGTACAGCCAGCCTCAGAAGCTAAATAGAAGAAAAATGTATAGTCCCATGTGGGTACAGTGAGAAGGCTCTGAACTCTCATCTATTGAGTTCCGTGGAGTTTAATTTCTCTATTAATCTAAATTTAATAAATAGCTAGAAAGCACTACACGTCAAGAATGAGAAAATGCCCTGAATGGTGACTGGAGTGCTTAAAAGGGCATCGGTATAGAGAATGGCCCCACTTAACTGTCAGTAGACTGTGAATCGTGCCATACGTGATTTATGGTAAAGGGAGTTTTATGGATGGGGTAGCACGCTAAACAGTAAGCTGACAAAAGGAAAGAAAACACAGAAATCTCCTGGATTTATGCCGGAAGTCTTATCCTACGCTATTGTACGACAACGTAAATGGGAGTAGTAATTAAACGATAAACAAAAAATAAATTTCACAAAATGATGGATTTTGAGTTAAGGTGGGAGGTCCTGGGAAGTGATCTACGTTGGCAGTGTAGTTTCTGCAACAGCCTGCAAATGCCAAGATAAAACTCCGCATGACACGATCCATAGTCTACTGACAGGTAAGCGGGGTCGTTCTCTATACCGTTGCCCTTAAAAGCGCCGGTATGCGTGAGGCCAGTTGGAGATGTTCAGCGGATGATTTGAGCGTTCCGGCAAAGAGTGCTTGGACTTTCGGATCGACAGTGCAGCAGTGCGACAAGGCCATGATTCAATGGCTGGCTTAAAACGCACAGGTCGTTCACGCGCTGGGATGACCAAATAATTTGGGCATTAAACTTCTATGTTTAACCAGGAATGACAGGGCTCACCAAGAGTTACTGGAGGAGGGGGGAAAGGGAGGGGTTGAGGCTTACAGGAATGCCCATTGTTTATAGCGGTGAATGACGACGGGCCCTCTGTGCTCTGCACAACAATATCGACCTCGGCATCGCTACTTTCGCCCAAATAGGTGGCATTCTGGGAATCCAAGTTGATCGGCGACTGGGCCCATCCTGAACACATTGTGGGGCTAATACGGTTCCAGGTGTTGGGATTTGATTGGCTGTTTGTGTAGGACCAGGCTGGACCTATATCGGGCAGAAAGCGGAATGGATGAGAGGCATGGCTGAGAGGTGTGTGTGACTGAAGGCGTTGCGTCTACAGTAGGTCCACTCAGGGCATTCATCATTATAATAAATGTGACACGTTTAAAATCTGTTTTGGCATGTTCAAATTCGCGGCTTGAAAGATTGTGAACTAACGACATAAATGAAACCTTGACTGCAGTTTTATCAGTCAGTTCAGTCACTACGTTTGTCTGTCGATCATACGCAACCACCACAGGCCAAACTCTATCACCACACAGCTTTCCGCCAAGTTCATTACTTGCATCGTATTTGTCGCTTTCCTGAACACTTTGGTCTTTAGTCCACCACAATCCTTGCGGCATACGAGGTCATCCAGGAAGGCCAGCTGGTTGTTCTCTTCCTCCTCCATCGTAAATTGAATGTCCGCGAAGACGGCGTTGAGATGTTCAGTTCAGTTCAGTTTATTGAGGGAAATGTAGGTCTTCACCTTTGAACTCCCTATTTGTTTACAAGCAACTGCAAAATCTCAAAAACTCGAAAAGGTATCATAAAGGAACAAATAATCGGAAAAGCGTCAGGTCTGTACGGACAAACAAACTGTCTCGAATTTAAGTGGTACGAGCAGTAGTAGAGCGGTCGTTTCTAGTGCAGTGAAATAAATACTATATCCGGTGACAAAATTTGCATAGGTGCATGTCAGTAAGCGTAGTTGATGGGTCGGGACAATAATAAATTCAATTTAAAATGTTACTGAAATATAGCAAGTAGTATTATAATAACGGAATTTGTCGAGGTTACAGAGAACGGGTGGTAATTTAGTGGACACTGCTACACAAATCCAGCTTCCTCTTAAAGACCCCGACGGAAGGAGACATAACGACATCCACAGGCAGGGCATTCCAGGCTTATAGCACTCTGTTGGAGAAGAAGAACTTTCGTGTGTCCAGTCTGGCCCCTGTCACACGTAGTTTGAATGGATGGCCTCGTAGATTTGTGGTGGTTGCTAACTCGAAGAAGTCCTCCGGTACGAGGCTGCAGTCCTGACCGCGTATGATACGGAAGGCTTGTATCAGGTCACCCCGTAACTGCCTGTAACTCAAGGGATGTCTTTGAATGTCAATGCCTGATCCCGTTCGATGACGATGCAGGTATCATCCACATACCGGGCCCAGAACTTCGGTCTTGACATATGGAAGCCCTCGCCAAACTTCAGTGTCCGTGCGGTTCTGGTCCGAAATATGTGGCCCGGTATTTGAATGATACCTTCGTCGTTATCGACCGGGATCAACTGCTAACATTCAAGGAAGGTCTGAATGCGGTCTTCTCGGACCTACAATTTACGATGGAGGAGAAAGAGAACAACCAGCTGGCATTCCTGGATGTCCTCATATGCCGCAAGGATTGTGGTGGACAAAAGACCAAAGTGTTCAGGAAAGCGACAAATACGATGCAAGTACTGAACTTCAACAGCAACCACCCAATCAGCCACAAACGCAGTTGTTTAAGGACGCTCTATCGGTGTGTCGAAACGCACTGCAGTGAGCCGGAAGACAAATTGCCGAACTACAATACCTCCGACGGATCTTCAAACCCAATGGCTATCCGCGCAACTTTGTCAATCGGTGCATATGCAAAAGGGACGAAAGGCCTAACCGCACGGACACCAAAGTTTGCCGAGCGCTTCCATATGTCAAGAACATTTCGGAAGCTGTTGGCCGCCTTCTCGCACCACTTGGGGTTGGAGTTGCACACAAACCGGAAGCAACCATCAGGCGTCTGGTCATGAAACCAAAAGACTCACTGCCACGGCAAGAAACGTCTGAAGTCGTTTATCGGATCTGGTGCATTTGCGGACAAAGCAACTACGTCGGAGAAACCGGAAGACAACTCCAAACGCGAATTGCCGAACACGCTGCAGCGGTGCGGAGTAATGACGTCAGCTCTCAAGTTGCGGCTCATTCGACGGTTTCCGGCCACACACTCAAATTTGCCAAGGCCGAAATTCTCGCAAGAGGTAACAACCGCTTGAGCCGGGAGCTGCTTGAGTCATGGTTTATTGACACCCAATCTATTAACAAATGCAATGATCTTCCCATTCAATACACCGTGCTGAGACTTCGTCTAGGTGGAGTAATTGGCCACGCGGGGAGCGCACAAGTGAACACTTTTCCCAACACCAGGGTCGATGCGTCAGATGGTCGAGCAATCATCACACCAACATCCAACGCACGTGATAAAATTGCAGCAATTAGCGGCGCGAACGTCGGCCATCACGCCACGTGCAACTATCCCTGATGAAGGGGAGGGAGCCGTGAATATTCATAGGTATGCGATGGCATGGCTACTGCATCCTATAAATACTGCAGCCGCATGTGCATGAACCACCCTTATGTGCTTTTGTCTCTGATGATGGATTCGAGCAGGAATCGGAAACGTCAGGCTAATAAAGCTCTTGTCCCGGCGATCGTGTAATCTTTCATGAATTTGTAGAAGTAATGTGGTGTTTGTCTCGGGAATGCCAATGGTCTAGAGTGAAAAATCGAAAAAAGTAGCTGGGGCCGGAGATCACGTCTCAAAATATGCCCGAAACGTTCAACGTCTTATAGAATCCAAACAATGACTGCAGTTTTATTGTAAAAGTTGTGTCAGAGCTGAACATCTTGGCATATTTTGTCGAGTTTATAGTTGTTTTTGGCCTTGAAACCCTTAATGTGTCAAGTGGCCGTCCGGACACTAAGCGGTTGTGCGGTTTAATCTTTCGTTCGGGGCGTCAAAGCATTCCTAACCTACAGCATAGGTTAACCGAAATTCCGAAGTGTGTTTTTGACTTGAAAAGATTACTTAAGAGGGTTTGAGCATTAATCACCATGCAGCCTAATCCTGTAATAATTTAATTACTAAGGGATGCCGGCTTTTGAACGTACTTCATTCCGGCCGCCTACAAAAACTACACTCTGTTAATGAATAACTACATATATAGCATGAAGTTTTTTCATTTCTTTTCAATTCACTTGTAAATGCAAATACACTTCATAAAAAAACTATGCATTCTTTTATTAACTTGGTAGAAAATAACGTTTTCCTTAAATTTCCTACTTAAAAGAGGGGTATAATTCGGTTTTAAAAAGTTTCTAATTATGATATTGTTATAGTCCTGAAGTGCCCGCTCATAAAACATCGCGTCTCTGCATTTACTTTTGTTGCTTTTGAAGTTTACACTTTGGCTCAAATCCACTGCTACATTTTATGAACCCCAAATGGTCTCTTCTCAATAACCTATAGAAATTTATACTTTCCCTTACACGGTAAGCATACATCTTTTAATTTGAACAACCCGAGTGTGACTGTAACGACAGGTCGGGTTCAAAATTATTGAAATCGGAGAAGTTCTTGCGTCAAGTATAAAATTTTAAAAGACGTAATTTTCTACCATGCGAGTAAAAGATTGAATATTTTTTATATGTTTTCTATGGAATATATTTGAATTTATAAGTGCATCTAAAAACAATGAACAAATTCATACTACTTAAGTGGCTATTTTTTACAGAGGCTATTGACGCAGGCGGCAGAAGGGAAGTTCTTTCAAAATCCGGCATTCTCTAGTAACTGAATTATTATAAGATTATTCTGCATGACGGTTACGATTAAACCCCGCCTCAAGTTATATTTTCGTGTCGAAAACGCATTTCAGGATTTTGGTTAACATGTCATGATTTAGCAAATCTACTGTAGGTATTAAACGAATATCGCATAATTCAGGATGAAGCCTTCAACATGGTATGAGATATATGCAAAGCGCTATTTTCCGCCCCGATCGTGTTAACAGCCGAAAGTGTGTCGGCCGAGTTCTTTTTATTAATTCTGTGATGCAGGCGCTAAAACATCTGGGGGTGCCAAGGGCCCTTACAGCACTAAACACCCACTGGCTGAAGTAACGTCGACTTTCTGAGGACAAAAACACGGGCTTAGTTTCTATAACTGCGACAGAAGGGAATTTATGTACAATGGATGGCAGTATTTGAAAATGAGAATTAATGTAAACAGCAATGCCATTGTTGAAAAATAAACGACTCTGTTGAAAGGGGCAATCTCACCGTCCGCGGCCAGGCATCGCATAACGAGGAAGTTCAGCACAATCAAGATTTCTCGCATAGTCTCCTGTTTGCTGAAAAAGAAGAGACGGTTTCGACTGAGATGCCTACTTGCGGAATTTGATACATAAACGCTGTATATTCAGTTTAGCTATTCCATTCATGGAAAGAGGCGAAGGAGCTAAATGATTACGAGAAAGCGGTTGTGATTTGCAATCCAAAAAAATTCCGAACTGTATTTTTGCGAACGTTATGCAAATTCACGCTGATGGGGTTAGAAAGTTGGATAGGGTGTCCTTATTAGAAAAGTTATTCACTCTCAACTGAAGCTTACAAAAGAGTCGATATAGTTGAACTCACGGAATGCAATTTAGGAAGTTGGAAATGGAAGGAAACTTAAAAAAGACCTGCTGGTTCGTCCTCTTATATATAGGTGCTCCCAAAACAAGTATAACCTCCAATCAGGTTGGAGTGGGTGCCTTAGGTGGTGCAACCAGCTTAGCATCCATGCACGGTTTCCTCAAAATAACCCACCGCTTAATAATAACTGCAACCTTTTGCAGAAATTAGACTAGTATTTTCATTCGTTTAAAAGACAGTACGTACCGTCAGTACCGATCGAGACCTGCCTGAGTTAAAAGGGTTCTACGCGTGGTGATAGACCCCCAAGTCACGTGCAGGTCTTCCAAAATATCGTCAGTTAAAATTTGAAAATAACAAAACCTGTTTACTGCACTGTGCGACTCATCAAATCGCAGACTTAGAGCTCATTCACAAAGAGCTGACTTATTTTAATCAAGCGAGGAAAACACTTGAATTTTCAATGAAATGCAGCGTGCAATCATAAAATCATTAGGGTAGGTGTGAAATGAAGCGTAACATGGGAGTCTTCACGTTCAGTAAAGCAACCAACTGCCTCTTTCAGGGCAAACGTCTTCCAAACCAGCTACTATCACCATATCTCATGGTCTATCGTTAGATATGTTAAAATGGTTCAAGGTATGCAGAGCGACAGCTTTGTCTGCAGTGTCTAGGAGACTCGTGTTGGAAGTTCAAAAAAGAAACAGAATTCTGACGGCCTTGGGAGGCAGAAGAAGTGTAAATTGTTTTGACAAACCGGCATAGCTTCATACTTACCTTAACGGCTCCGCTGGTCGGCTGCTGTTTCCCGCTGTCTGCTATTAGCAATATTTTACTTGATAAAATTTCTGACTAATTCAATTCCATATGCTGCTCCTTGATCGGTTCGCAGTTGCGCATCACGAATATTGCTGTGGATGCTTTGCCTCAGCTCTTATAACTCTGACAGAAGCGAACA